TGATGGCGAAAGTGAGTCCGGGTTCCACGCATTTGTTCGGCTCAGAAGTATCCTCCACACCGTCATGAATTGCGTTCTGATCGTGTCGTATCAGGTCCCCGACTCGCCCCCGCTGCCCCTGCCGAACGCCGAAGGCTCAATCTCGCTCCCCGCTCCGTCCCCCAGTCCCCAGCAACCAGTGCCCCCGAACCTGCCAGTGCGCGTGCGTCCATCTTCGGCGGTGCCAAGCCGATCGACTCGGCCACGAAGGAGAAGGAAGCTGCGGACAAGCTCGCCGCGAAGGGCGAGGAAAGACGGCAAGCTCAGATCAAGGCGAAGGAGGACGAGGAGCGTAAATCCAAGGAGCTGGCGGAGGAGAGGCAGCGCATGATCCGTGAAGCGCAGGAGAAGGCTCAGGCCGAGGTCTCTGGTGGGAAGCCGCGTGGTGCGGGCGCCGGCGCCGGCGCTGGAGGTGCTCGACCAGCCCGTGGAGGGGCCCCGGGCCAATCAGGACCTGGCAGGAGGACCTCTGGCGATGTTCGATCGCCGACTTCACCTCGGGCCAAGTCGCACCCCGTCCAGCCCGCTGCTGAGGACGGATTCGAGGCGGTTGCGCGTGGCGGTGCTCGCAAGACGAGCCAATCTGCCGCGGCGGCGGCGACCGAGCAGCAAAAGAAGGATTCCGGCGTCAAGAAGGGGTTCAGCTTTGCGGCGGCGGCCATGGCGGAGGGTCTGGTTGACGAGGACCAGGACGAGGCTGGGGATAACGCCGTGGACGAGGTCACGAACGGTGTCAAGGAGGTTGCCGTTTAGCTGGCAAGTGAGGCGTAGTCGAGCAGCAGCAGTAGCAGCCACTCGTCGATCATCCGTCCATCCGGGTCAAGCTTGGGTCAGGGGTCTCATGCATGTGTAGATAAGGGATACATCGGGCGCATCGGGTGATGCGCAATTACATGGGAGGTGGCTACATACATTCGTCTCGTTTCCCCTCTTTCCCATTCCCATTGCCGTTGCTCCGTCACCTCGGCTCGATCGCTTTACTCGCACACACTGATGACATCGCTCCGCCCGACCCAGGTCTCGCATGATCAATGGGTTTTCCCCCTCCAAACCGCCAGGGGCCCATCCATCCCAGAGACCTAGATGCCGGCAGAAGAGACGCCCGTCGGCTCCGACACCCACTGCTGAGCAAACTTGATACCCTCATTCGCCGCGTCCTCCTTGAACCCGCGTTCCCTCGGCTGCTGATCGTCCCCCCGCACGGCAAAACCGTGCACCGCGTCCTTGTACCGCTTGACGAAGAGCTTGTCGCCGAGCTGACCCCGGAGGATCTTCTCGATCTGGAGGGGTCAGTGGGGGATTCTGAATGGAGGCACCGTCCACGGGTCCTGTCTCGTTCTCCGTCTCCATTCCTGTTGTGTCCATCTCCATCTCCATCTCTCCAACTCGACTCGACTCATCTCATGACATCTCCCTCCTGGTCGTTCCGATCTGGACAGTCGACCCCGACTCGCTTCCAATTGCCTCATCACCCTCACTCCACTCCACAATCTTACTGAGATTCCACGCCCCACATCCCAGCTGCCACCGAAGTTCCGAAGCTCCGAAGCTCCGAAGCTCCGATCCCCCGAACCAGATCCAAGACCGCTACGAATCACCTCTCCGAGCCAGAAATTGGATTTCACGCACCTCATCGAGCGCCGCATCATCCATGATATCATCCTGATCACCCTTGAACACCGCCACGGGCGTCTTCGTGATCCCCTCCACATCGGCATTGACGACGAACGACGGGTGGTACGCCACCGCCACGTCGACGCGGGCGGGGGAATCGTCCTTGCTCAGGAGGAGGACGTAGCGGCCTCCCCAGCAGAACCCGATGGCGATGATCTTGTCGCTGCGGAGAATCAGTGCATGGTCGGGTATAGCTCACGATGGAGCATAATCTGGCTCTGGCCCGAGTTCTGGATCACAGTGTCAAGCACCTCGAGCACCCCTGAAAGTGTGGCAACACCTGCACTTGGCACGTATTTGGATCGGATCTAAGAGGCCAGAATCCAAATCACAGATCCCAGTCCCAGTCCCAGTCCCGCTCTCACTTACGTATGCGGATCAGCCCGGACGGCCTGGAAGAACTTCTCGATCGTCGGCCTCGCCACGGCCTCGCGGTTGTGGAGGAGGAACGGGGCCAGCGCCGCCGCCTTCTCGGCGGTCGTCTTGGCTTGGTCGATGAGGGTGTGCTCGGACCGCTTGATCGCGAGGTTGGGGATGATAGCCTGGGCGAGGTGTGAGCGCGGTAATGGGCAATGGGCAATGGGCCATGGGCAATGGGCAGTGGGCGCAGGGTTTGGCAACGGGCAATAGGCAAAGGGCAACGGGCAACGGGCCAAAGGCAACAGGCGATGAGCTGTCGGGCGTGTCATAGGAGTGGAAACGCGCTGCAAGCGCAGCGACCTAGGAGGGAGCGGAGAGGACGATGAGGGGTGAGCGGTAAGGGCTACAGCGGAAGATGACAAGCAGGGAGCAGCCTGGAGCGAGGAGCGAGGAACCGGGAGCTGGGAGCAATCAGAGGGGTGAAGTGGGACAAAGCGGCGGGGGAGCGATATGATGGGGACAAGGACAACCGGGACAAGGACAAGGGAGACAGGTAGGAGGGAGATACGCCGACACGTCGATACGCCGCGCAACTAGGCGTTCGAAGACCGAATCTGGCGGGAGACGACCATACCCCGTCGACCCCACCGACCCCACCCCCGTCGACCCCACCGACCGCACCCCCGTCGAGCCGTAGAGCCGTCGAGCCGTCCCCGAGTCCAATCCCCGTACCCAACCCACTCACATTCATGTGCTCGATCCCGATCGGCCCGCCCTCGAAGAAGTCCGGCAAGAGGACTTTCCAGCCGTTCCCCTGTCCGGCCCAGCTATCCGCTACAAGCTGGTCGGGTTAGCAAAGACACGCGCGGAGGGGAGCGGAGGGGAGCGGAGGGGAGCCGAGTCATAGCGGCAAGGATCCCACGCAACACCGAGGTCGCGCACGCCGCGGTCCTTTCTTTCGCGGCTCGCGATGCTCTCTTCGCGGACCTCTTCCGGCGCCGCTACGGGCTGCCATCCTGAGATACGAGGCGAAGACACTCACTTTGGCATTGATGAGATCCACACCGAACACGTCCGAGATGATCACGACGACTAGGAGGTCTCAGAAGATATCCCCGGGAAGGAAGGTAGTACTGCGACCTCTTCCCTGGACTTGCGGAGATGAGTAGTCCAGATCGGAAGTGGTGAAGCAAGAGAGAAGGGGGGGGGGGGGGGGGAGATACGGCGTACGGGCCGAAGGGGATTCGTGATAGTACACAGCCACTACGCACCATCCTGCTTCTGGCTCGGTCCAGGCGGCTTGGGATCGGAGATATACGTCCTGAGACCGTGGACGATCTCGAACTTGCCCAGCGGTATGCCCTCGTGGATGTCTGGGAGGTCAGCGAAGCGGAGCGAAACCGAGCGGAGCTGTAGCTAATCGAAGCGTCTCGCGAGAGCGAGTGCTGTGTGGACCGAAACCCATTCGCGTGGATCGATCTGACGAGAAGTGGGTGTGGAATAGGAACGCCGGCGAAGCGGGAAGCGGGAAGCGGGTGGGGCTCGTCCGCAACGCCGTGAGGAGGAGTGTGGAGGTGCGGAGGTGTGGGTTGGAGACACCGTCGGGATGGAGCCCGAGCCGACGTACGGCCAGTGACGCAGCACGGCTTGATCTCGGTCTGTTCGCTCGCCATGGTGTTGTCTCCGAACGTCTGTCAAGGTGGGTTCGTGTGGAGATATGCAGATGAGAACAGATATGGCGCGATGTGTGCTGCTATCGAGTACCCCGTACTGGACATCCGGGGCGGGATGAGTGAGCGCGACGTCATTGTGCCCGCGCAGTCAGACAATGTAGCAGTGCCACTTTGCACAGTGGCACCGCACCCACCCGCCCCGGTAGTTTGTGGAACGTCGCTTGTCGGTGACGATGGTTGAAGAGCAAGTTCGACAGAGCACTGCGTACCATGCCATGCCGTCACCGTAACACGGCAACACGGTAACACGGTCACGCGGTGTCAGTACTGCTCACAACTTGTCGTTTGTGCGGTACTTGTACTCGTACATGTATTCAATGGTCCACTCGCCCAGACAACAGGCGACGCTCTGCCCGTAACTCCTCCCTCAGGGACTGATGCTAGCACCAGGTCTCGAGGCTTGTGGAGTCGTGGAGTCGTGGAGACGGGGAGACGGGGAGACGGGGAGACGGGGAGACGGGGAGGAGGGGAGAAGAGGACTTTCGAACTCGAACTCGAACTCGAAGTCGGGCTCTTGGCTTTGCTTTGGTGCAAAGCCATCAACAACGGAGCGACGGGGCGATGGGGCGACGGGGCGATGGAGCGGCACATCCTGATGGCACGGCACAGAGAGGAGGGACGATATGAACCGACTAGGAACCAGAGTAGATACGCAGCGAGGAACACGCAGCTAGTTGGTATTGCAGAGTACTCGTTGCGCATGAGTCATCCTCGAGCTGCCTGTCTGCCTTGTGCACGCCGTATACGGTGGTCGCACCGTAATCTGCTGAGAACGGCTTTGGCTGCGCCCCAGCGAATTGGTGTAGTGTGCTGCACTTGTACGTGTACGTCGTGTTCACGGAGCCCTCCTCGCCTCGTATCCGTGACGAGGCGCCAGGCCATCCCACTTCGACGCCTAGGCCATACACTTCGACGCCTAGGCCATACACTTCGACCTTCGACCTTCGACCTTCGACCTTCCCGCCATGCTCTCCGCACCGTCTCCCTTCTCCCTTCTCCCTTTTTGCAGCACCCCTCACGCCTTCATCGAATCCAACACATCCACATCCTTGGGATCTTGACAAAGGACACTCGAGGGCCAGAAGCATCCCCCAGAGAAGTATTCCCTGCTGAAGCAGGACCTCAATCGCCCACGCGCCACCGCGAGGTCCGCTGTGCAGGATCACAACGACATTTTTGCTGCCGCTGCGATTAGGTTCCATCGTCTAGTGGTTAGGACGCTCGGTTTTGAGAGATGTTCGCTCAATTCCCCTTCCGAGCAGCTTGGGTTCAATCCCCAATGGGACCTTCATGTTTTTGCAACAACCTCACGAATACTCGATCGAATACAGCCGACCTCTTTTAGGACGGTTTTGTCATCCCCCCCCCAACACGCCTTCTTGTTTTCTCGCAGTCTCCCCCCCCCCTCCCCCCTCTTTCGCTTGCACACGCCTGCGATGCTGATATGTTTGCTGGTTTGGTTGTGTGTTTCGTCGCATCCAACGAAATCTCCCGAGCTAGCTCGGCGTGCATTGACTACGTCCAACCTCATCATTCCGCCACTACCCAAATGCGGTGGGACCAGGGATCTCGCCCGTTGATCAACTCGAATAGATCCATCCTCATCCTTCGTTGCGATGCTCGAGACCTGTCGAACCATAGCTGACCTCCTGATGCAACTAACTAACCAACCCCAACCCTGGCTGGGCCTCATGATCCCGGAAATCAATCGTACTGATTCAAATGCGTTTCGTACGATATCCCCCATGCGGTTCTCCTTCCTCGCTGACCTTCTTGCTTACGGACACACGCGCTCGCCCAGCCGCCCTCCGGCCTGCCTGCCTGCGAGGCACGCCACCACGTCTGCGCCTGTGCGCTGTGAGTCTGCTTGACCGACCCATCAAAAGGCGAGGAGCGTAACCCTCGGGGCGGCGCCCCTCCGCTCTGGCCGTCTCTGGCTGTTCGAGTTCGAGCTGCGGGTTCCGACGACTTTCCCGCCCGGCTTCTCGCTCCCTCGCCAGTCGACCCTCGCGGTCCGCCTTCTCTCCTGATCGGCTTCCGATTCCCGACTTCACATCGGCCTCACCGTGCCCTGCCATCCTTCCTCTCCCACTCCATCACGCCCTCACCCTCTGATAGAACAACAGATACGCGCACTTCTCCCTCCCGCCGACCAGCCCGGCCCGTCCACTCTCCGCCTCCTCACTGGAGACCACCACATCCTCCTTCGGCACAGGCTGGACCATCTCGTCGTCAAAGTGGATCCAGCCGCCTCCGTCCTGTCTTGAGACGGCGACGGTGTAGTGTCCGCCCGTGGCGGTCATCCCGTGGTGGTACACCACTGAATTGTGTCAGCGACAGGTCTTATGTAGTCGTGGCCTCCACTCACCTCCGAAGAGCTTGTACTTGATACCCCCTGCACTCCTCCTTGCAGGCGAAATGATTTCTACCACTCCATCAGTTCGGCTCACACACGCATTCCAGGTTCGACTCGACTCGATTGCACGTACCAGGCGGAACAACCAGCTCTGTCCCATACCCCACCGCCTTGCCCTTCTTCACCACGCTCTGCTCCAGAGGGTCATACACGAACCGCTTCAGGTGGAGGATCAACACCGCCGGGAAACTCTCAACGAACACCGTCTTCGTCGCGTCCACGTTCTCCTTCCGCGATGCGCTCCAGACCGGCACCACCTCGGGTTGGGAAATATGTCGCAGCGCATCGGTGATATCCCTCGCATCGGAAATGTCGAGCTGGAGTGGCTGGTATGGCTCCAGTGTGACCGAGTCTTTCTGGCCCGGTGTGTGCAGGACGGATCGTAGCGTGCCGCCAAAGATCCGAGACACGGCCGTCTCCCGCACCTCGGCAGAACGAACCACATTGGTCTTCTGCTTCTTGCCGACCTCGAGCCAGCCGTCCTCGCCGCCCGCTCCTGGAGACACCGGCCGCTCAATCACACTGGCGTCGTCGCCGTTCGCCTGGGACTTGGTCGGGCCGTTCCGGATATGCGTGCGGGACAGGAGGTACAGGAGTTCCTCGTGCAGCGTGTTGAGGAAGAATCCAAGGTATTCCTCGGCATCCTCTTGGAATCCGCGCTGGAACGGATCAGCTGGCGCGCTCCCGGACTTTCTGCCCTTGACAAGGATGCCTGGCCGACTCACTCTCATGCTGTCAAACCTCTTGTTCTCCTTCATCGCGTCATACACGTTCTCCGGGACAAAGGCTTCTCGTCTAGGATCGCGCTTGGGGCCTCGCGGCGTGCTAGCGCCATTGGGAAGAGATTGCTCCGACCGCGGCGTCGACGTGCCCGAGGCAGACGGAGCGGCCGAAGGGAGCCCAGTGGTTGGAATGAATTCGCGGAGGAAGATGATCCTGAAGCTGGAGTCAACATAAATCAACGTTTAGTGCACGAGCCACGCACATCGCTTCGAGCAGAGGCGTCTTTCGAGCAAGGTCCGCCTTGAGACGCTTCCCCAGCTCCTCGAACAACTCGGTGAAGGGAGGGCAGTACACGAGCACCTGGAGAATCTGCAATGGGTCAGTACGAATCATGGACTCGATGACACCTGCCGACGGTCGAGCTCCGACTTACAGTGTTGGCGAAACACATATTTCCCGTATTGATCAGACCCCTCGGGAGCGTGTTGGCGCCTTCTCTTGCCTTGCCCTTGATGCCCTCGCTCAGCAACCTGACCAGCTCGTCCTGAGGCGAGAGGGCCGCACCAGCTGCAGCCGCCGCGGCGTAGTTAAACGCTGGACGCGGAGCAGCATACACCGACGCTCCAGTGGATGGAGGCAGAGTTGCGGGGGAACCCGACTTCGGCGTAGAAGGCGGAAGCCGGGAAGGTCCTGCTTCCGACGATGTCTCCGGGTCGAGCGAGATGGTGGAGCGGGACGGAGAGGCGCGCTTGGAAGGTGCGGCGGAAGCGGAGGGAGTGGTGGACGAGGAGGGTTTTTGAAGGAGAGCCGCCCAACTAGACGGCTTGGCTTTGGGAATGGGGATGGAGGAAGGCGTGGCAAGTGTAACCGGAGCGGCAGCGGTAGGTGCTGGAGCAGGCGCGGGAGCCGGGGCAGACTGAGGCTCCTCGGCGATGGTACCAAACACGAGCGTGGGGGCGGGTCGAGCCCTGCTGTCATTCGAGGCGAAGACTGCCTTCTTCTTGCTCGCCTTGGCTTGGCCCTTGGTCGTCCACCTCGTCTTCCCCTCGCCCGCCACCACCTTCGTTTTGACGTTCTCTGGAACGGTCTTCGCAAGTGCAGAGGCGTACGAGTTGTCCCCAGCGGCAGCGGAGTCAGGCCTGACTGAAACCAACTTGACCGGTCCCTCGATGGCGGTGGCAGCAGCCTTGCGGGACGCAGAGGCCGAAGCGGTCGTCGAATTAGAGACGGAACGGATGGTGGTGGACATGGCCTGGGAGAAGGATCGGGTGGCCGAGGCGGCTGTCGGGGAGGTGTAGCCCGGTACTGTTGGTCCAACGAAATTCCACTCTCCCGCGGCGGCCTTGGGGGAAGGAGTCTCCGCCTCGGTGACACGAGGTGTCTGGACCGAAGTCGGCGAGGTCGAGGCGGTGGGCGAAGGAGTCATGGCGGGGGTGGAGGTGGATACGGTTGCGATCGAGGCGGACAAGTTGGGTTGAGCCGGTTCATCCTCCACGGTCAATCCCAGACCACCAGGAGTCTCAGAAATCCTCCTTGCGCCGATCCCCTTGAGCTTCTCCCCGTCGACCACCACGGGCGCAAATGTTGCCGGAGCCTGGCTGATTGATGACGCTGGCGCATCACCGTTTGGTATTGACGACACGGGAGTGTCGCCATTGGCGACCCGAGTTGGCGGGACGTATATGAATCCCTGAGCAGCTGGATTGAGACCCTTGCTCGGTTGCGGCGGTATCGGCGGAGGTGGTGGTGGGACGTATCCGTCGTATCCGTAGCCATACTGCACGGGGTTCGGTGGATATGGGGAATAGCCAACACCGCCGCCGTACCCATACGGATGGCCTGGAGGGTAGTATGACTGATAACCCGGGTGACCTGGGCCGTTGGCGAACTGATCGTACCCGTCTGCAGGGAATGGGGGTCGATCGGGATGTGCAGAATCAGTGGCCGAGGTGGAAGGTCGCTGGTCGATACCGCCCTCGTAACCCCCAAATCCGTAGCTCTGCCGCGGGGGAACATCACCCTGATATCCTCCGTAGGCATTCTGCATCGTCCCCGGCCCCGGACCGGGTACGCCCATCTGATACCCGCCCATATGGTACGGCTGCTGAGAATACATGCCTTGGTACTGGAAGTTGGGGTCGGGGAAGCGGGGCTGGTTCGGGTGGAACGAGCTGGAGCCGGCGCGGGGGTGGAAACCGGGATGGGGGTGTTGCTGCTGATGCGGAGGATGCTGCTGGAGATGCTGGGTCTGATGCTGAGGGAGATGCTGGAGCTGATGCTGGGGTTGAAGTTGAGGTTGAGGTTGATGCTGCTGGTGCTGAGGGTGGGGCTGATGCTGATGCTGCTGCTGCTGCTGATGCAATGCCTGGTGATGTGGAGGTTGGGGCTGGGACAAGTGCGGGCCGGGAGGATGTTGGTGTTGTGGATAACCGGGGAAACCGCCGCCGCCGCCGCCGCCTCCCTGGAAAGGGACAGACGAGGTGGAGGCGTAGTTTATCGAGGGGTAAGTTGGCGGAGGGGGTTGGGGAGGTGGCGCGGCCGACGCGGCGGGTGATGACGAAGACGCGGGGACGGGGGGGAACGGGGTGGCAGAGTTGGAGGGAGGTGGTGGGAAGGGAGCAGGCGCTGGCGCCGGAGGGTGGACCGAGTGCATCTGGCAAGAGCGTGAGCGACTCTTGAGTGCTATTTCGATCGGCCGGCGTCGAGGCGAGGCGAGGTGGAGGTGGGTTGGGAGGTTGGGGCGGGTGATTCGGAGAAAAAAAGGGCAAGGGGGAGACTTACGACGGCGAGATAGAGAAAGGAAAAGGGGACTGAGCCCCAGGCGAGATGTCTTCTTCACGGAGGTGTGACGAGGTGTTTTTCAATCGGTCGAGCCGTGGTCGAAGCGGTGGGAGGTGTTGAGTCGGTTGAGTCGGTTGGGGGGGAGGTCGATCTGGTCGGTTGACCAATCGTGTGCGGTGTCGTCGGCGACGAGCGAAGAGGTGGGAAAAGCCGATACTCCGGAGAGGCTGGTTGACGAGCCGTTGTGAGGATGTAGGGTGTGAGGTCTATGAGGATAAGGAGACGAGGACACGGCACTACACTGCAAACGGGAGGGAGAGGGAGAGAGAAGTGGGAGGCAGGGATAGATGTATAGTGAAGGGGAAGGT